CCCACCCCCCCCCCCCACCTCCTTCCCGCTGCTGCTGCTGCACGGATTCCGCATTCCAGCTGGGGAAAGAAAGAAAGAAAGGAAGAAAGAAAGAAGGAAAGAAAAGCGACAAAAGATAGTAGTACGCAGCTAATAAATCGAGCTCGCTGGGATCCCAAGCTTTCGTCGCCCCTGCTTCCCTTGAGGCTTGAGGGAGGGGGATCGGCCAGAGAGTCATCCCGTGGAAAGCTGTAGTAGGGAGGACCGGTGGTCTTCGGGTAGCCTGTGTGTGTGACTGATGCGACCGTGTTTGATTTCCTTTTCTTGTATTTTTTTCTATTTTCTTTTATTTTCTTTCCTTTTGTTTGTTTTTTTCCCGCCATCCATCTCCCGCGCCGAGTGCGCAGCGCAGCTTTTATTGATTTACCTACCGGTATTGACATACATACATTCATCCTCAAAGGGGTCTCGCTCGCTTAGCGCGTACGTACATACATACCGTACATACCCCTCCCCTCCCGTCCCCCTCCCCTCCGTCCCTCACCCTCACCCTCACCCTCACTATCACTATTAACCCACCCCACCCCATCCAACAGCACACCAAATCCCATACCACGACGCACTGTATATATATACATATATACATACCCGTCCCTCCGTCCTCCCCCCCCTCTCATCATAATCATCATCTCCATCCCATCAAGGCAGGTCCCGCAGCCGGTGTTGCAAAAAACCGACGACTCCCCTTCTGCTTCTGCTTGGTCTGGTCTGGTCTGGTTTGCTCGGGGTGGAGAACCCAAGGAAGAAAAGAGAGAGAGAGGGAGGGGATTTCATCGTCTCGATCAGAGGGTCGAGCGAGCAGCGGCGGCGGCTTTTGATGTAGCGTGAAAGAAAAGAAGAAGAGAAAAAAAAAATTGAAAAAGGGGGGAAGAAAAAATGAGATGATTAAATGTATCAATTAATATCAAAGTCAGACTGCGATGATCGACTGACTCTCGTTTTTATGACATGACATCTTTGAAGCACGTTATGAGAACGTCGGTTCAAGAGCGTAGTGTGTTCTTCGGAAGAAGTAACTACAGTACCGCGTGCAATGTAGATCAGAGGAAGCCGCCGCCGTGGCTGCTCGAGATAGCGACAAATATGCTGTGCAATTTCGATATAAGGATGTGTCAAGGTGGCTGATCGAGATAGAGGTAGAGGCGAGATGGAAGAGGAGCGTCTTGAGCGCAAATGCAATCATGGGATAAAAGATGCAATCATGGGATAAAAGAGAGAGAAAAAGGATCGACGCTCAATTGGTATTGAGACGCGCAACGTTATAGAAGGGAGACCTCATTAGTCGCTATCCAAAATTACAACCTCAGCCTCTGCCTCGCCCACACTCTCCACGCTCAACACATCCCCCGCGTTCACACCACTGATAAACGCTCCATCGCCCTCGCGCAACACGGCATCCTCGCGGCCATCGATCCTAATCTTCGAGCTGCCATTCTTCGTCATGGGCAGGTGGATATAGACGTTTCGTCCCTCCGTCTTGGCTACCGCGCCTGCGCCGATCGTCCACTGGAAGCGCTTATCGACCGGGATGATTCCGGCGCCCATCACCAAGTCCGCGTGGATGGGGATCGTATCTGGCAGCGTGGCTTCGGCGGCTTTCTCCTGTGCCGGCGTAGCGTCCTTGCCGCCGACGAGCGGGGACAGAATGGGGAGGAAGGCGAGGCGTTTGGCGTCCTCGCTAAAGGTCTTGGTGTGATACTTGGGGGTGAGGCCACGGGCCCAGGGGAGGGCCCAGATTTGGAGGAAGTGCACCTGCTTGTCGGATTCGTTTTGCTCGGAGTGAGCGATGCCTTGGCGAATCATGTGAGCAATTTGTTGGAGGGTTGGGGGAGGGGTACGAACCACTTCCACCGGTGGTAAACTGCACGTCTCCGCGCTTCATGCGGAAGAAATCGTCGCCTTGGCTTCCTTCGGCGCCCTTCTTGATCATGCTATCCCGGTGCGTGAGCTCGCCGCTGAGGATGTAGGAGAAGATCTCGGCGTCGCGGTGGGGATGCGTGGGAAAGCCTGTACCGGCATCGACGCGGTCTTCATTGAGGACCCGCAGACTGCCAAAGTTCTGGAATCGCGGATCGTAGTAGTTGGCGAAGCTGAAAGTGTGGTAGGAGTCTAGCCATCCATGATTTGCGTGTCCGCGGTCGCCAGACCGGCGGGGGACGATTTTGGCGTGGGAGAGGGCTTGAGACATGGTGGTCTTGACGGCGTTGAGCGCGCTCATAGAAGGTTCTTGAGGTATTGGTATTGGGGCAGTCGTTTCGAAAGCTTTGAGGGGAGTAGTAGGTATAGAGATGTAGTTTGCAAAGATGTGGAAGAGGTCGAGGAGCGGTTCACGATAGCAGATGCTGATGGATAGAACGAGAATGGAACTGGAGATGAAGAGAAGCTTCATTTATAGACAGATGAGGAGAGACGAGAACATAGGAGACGATGGGGAGAAGTGGGAGGAGGCGAGTATGAGAAATGGTTGTTTGTTACTTAAGCAATTGGTGATGCTTTGGCATGGCATGATTTGATTTGGTTTGATTTGATTTGTTGACATTTGCAGTGTCTATATGGGATTGGGATGGTAAGCTGGTGGAATGATTAGGTGATTGGGGACGAGTGAAAAATCCTTACCAAGCAGATGATTCAGCGTGGCGGGAGTCGGAGGTACTATGATCCTCGGCCTTAGGTCAGCCTCGCCCGGCAGATGTCTGGAGAACTACCAATTCCAGGTCAGGTGACAAAGCGGTTCGCTCAGCTGTTGCTTGCTTACATCTTGCCTCGCTTTCAATCAAAAGCGGCTGAATAATTTATTGAGCCTGCAAGTCTATGATTGTCTAGTCTGTCGGATTGATGTCCCAATGTGCTAGTAGTCACGTGATGCGAAAGGTACCCCGGATTCTCCATTATTGGCGTGAATCAGAAGCGGCCTAGCGCGGATTTGGGAACGTGGCTGGAACGGGGCTAACTTCCCCAGGCGGGTACTCGCCGCCGCTACAGATATATTATTACATCTTGCCTCGACCTCCAACTTTCAACAACTTCATCCAACCTCAACCTCAACCTCGCCGTCTCGAGACCTTCCCCTTCCTCTTCTCCCTTCCTCCATCCCCCCCCCCCGCTCCCCTGGTCTTCGTCCCCAGATCATCGAACTTAAGCATGTCGGACCCCGAACCCGCAAACGCAGCACATAAGGGTCCGCGCGCCCTTGGCGATCTGCCCGATGAACTACTCATACAAGTTATGAACCTCCTCCCCACACAGCACGATCTCGGCTCCGTGTGTCTGGTCTCCAGACGCATGAATTCCATCGCCGACCCCGTACTCTACAAGTCCATCCTCTTCGACAAGCCCAAGCACCATCTACTATTCTCCGAGTCGCTGGTCACGCGTCCCAGAAGGGGCTCCCTGATCCAGAATGTACGCGTCGATTTTGCCAGCGCCGAGATGAAAGATCTCCTGTGTTTGACGGACATGCCGCACCCCATCGATCGATTTTCTCATACCATCTCTACCATGTCGAATCTGGAGGATCTGGTCATCTCCGTGCCGGACAGCTTGTCGCATGGCATTGGAAATCTGTTCAACGGGCCATTTGATCTGGCGTGTCTGAAAACTTGCAAGTCCTCTTCCCGGCATTCCATGTCAACTGACTAACATAGAGTCAGGCTCCCTGTTCTACCAACGTGAGGACGGCGGTTATTGGGATCTTCAGGAGAACATCCACATCTTTGGCCATCCAACCCTCGAACACCTGACAATCCGCCACGCGAAGCTCGATGAGCGCGGTTTCGAGTCCCTGGAGAAACCGTGGTACACAGGTCTCAAGGCTTTGTTCCTCCTGGAATGCGACATCCACGATGACGCGCTTGCCGACCTGCTCGTTCTCCCGGAGGCGCTTGAGGAAATTACCATTACGCAGCTCGAGGATCCGGAACCAGCACTTGAGGAAAGCCCAGAGTACATGGAAGACTACATCCTCGCGTGTCGGTCGGCCCAGCACTCCCTTCAGCGAATTACCATCGACTTTCCTACCCTCGCTGCCAAGAACCCGTTGAAGCTGCGAGATTTCGAATTGCTGAAGGAGTTGAAGTTGAGGGATCACCAGCTGTTCGGAATGAAGACCCCAAGACTGTTTTCGGTAGCGCTGCCGCAGAACCTGGAGGTCTTGGAGTTTCTGAGCGAGGTGGGCACGGATGAGGAGGTGGCCGAGCTACTGTGCTACACGATCGAGAACAAGGCTATCCTCGCACGGAAATGGACGGATCTGGTTGTCGTGGAAGGCAAAGGCGTGCCGGACCGGATTAAGGAGGTTTGTGGACCTTTCGAGGAGTTCTTGCAGATGAAGTGAGGAGGACGCCCGAGCTGCTTCCGGTGATTACAACGCTCAGGGATGTCGGGAGAGACTTACGATCAACCTTTCCCTTACAGGATCCAGAATTAGACGATACTCCAGCGCGGTCATAGGTTGGGAGAGGGGACAGTAGACAATTGGGGCTTGCAGGCCGCCAATCACGATTGGCTATAGACAGACAGAAGACGAGACCACAGCTCCGAACAATGGCCCAGACATAGAACGGTCGCTCAGGATATGAAGAACTGGATTAGAAAGACGAAGTGGTTTTGTAAATATACATACAGCCCTACATATAGCCACGCGGCGGAATAAATCAGAAACAAAAGCAAGAAGAAGAAAAAAAAACACGCTATCTCTTCCTACTTACACATCGCCATCTTGGGTCGAAGTTGAGAAGACAATAAGGCACAGGACCTTTCTACTCTCTCATCTTGGCCGAGGTCCGAGAATTTGCCCATCGAGGTATAATCGATGTACTGATTGTAACTTTTTTCTCCTTGTCCCCTCAACGCTCCTCAAGGCTTCTTTAGCGTTGCATGCATGAGGTATGTATGTATATAGATCGATAGTTCGATCGTTCGATAAAGCGAAGTAGTACGTACGTACGTACCTCCGTATAATCCATCTATCACGCTGATTCCTTCTGCATGCTTGCCTGCTAGCTAGCTAGCTATCAGTCAATCAATATGCTATCGAGGAGGCTATGCGGAGGAGGTTTTACGCTACGTTGTATAGGTGGGTGGGTGGGTAGGTGGGTAGGTGGGTACGTAGGTGGGTACTTGGTTGGTTGTTTTCCGGCCTAGAACAGTTGGTTTGTGTGTGTGTGTGTGTGTGTGTTTTGATAGCCAATTCTGATTTTTGATTCTGATTTGGATTTGGATTTGGATTTGGATTAGTATCATCTGTTGTTAAGTTTTTGGGATTAGGGGGTTAGGGCATTAGGGGTTAAGGGTGAAGTTGGGGCTAGTCACTCGGAGCTCAGATTATAGAGGGAGGTCTAAGGGGCGGAGGAGTGGAGAGATATATTTGTCTGTTTGTTGGTTTTGTTGGTTTGGGGGGGGGGAGGGGCGGTAGCTTTGCTCGCTGGCTTGCTTGCTAGGCTTCTTGGATCTGGGAGATGTTGCTTGTTTGCTTGCTTGCTTGCTTGCTTGGGCGTGAGAAACGGCAGGCCGTCTCTTCTCAGTTGGTACTTACTGCATTGCTTATATTCCGTCCGTCTGTCTCTCCTGTGATGGCTTTGCGTGTTCGTACGATCTACCTATCTACCTCGATCAGAGTTCTTGCGTATCAGCTAGGTAGTTAGGTAGGTACATAGGTAGGTAAATATACATACATGCCAGCTAGCGCCAACCCTCCCCTCCCCCTTCGCCTCTTCACCCTCCTAAATTTTTCAATTTCAATCTCACGGTACTAAATCAATCAAGAGAAAGAGTAATGCAAGAAACAGATAGATAGAGAGAGAGAGAGAGAGAGAGAGAGAGAGAGAGAGAGAGAGAGAGAGAGAGAGAGAGAGAGAG